TGTGTGTGTGTGTGTGCACGCGCGCATGCGTTGAAGCATTGCAGCACTTCAGGAGCCTTAAGGGGGCTGCACAATCCCCATTAAAGTACATTCCTTGCCCATCACACTACAACTGTGGGTTGTTCCTGCTGTACGTGTCTTACCCCTTATTAGTTGCCTCTCTTCCTGCATTTTAACAGTCTCTCCAGTTGCCCCCCTAAAAAAATTTAATGCCTTTACCTGACTTGCATAAGATACATCGGGCTGCAGAGAAAATAAATGGGCAATGATTAACTGCTGGTGTCAGGCCTCCCAATGGGACTGACTTTTTGTTTCAGTGCAAGTGTTCACCAGTCTGGCATGCAAATTTTATTGCTGCCCAAACCTGCCCTTTCTGAGAGAGTTTTGGGTGGCAATCCATGAGGCAGATAAAAATGTTCAGATTCCGAGCAAGAGGCTATCTTGCAAATTCATTCCACAATCGGGGGGGTACAGGAAAAACGAATTTAGGAAAGAATGGGGGGGGGACAAGGAAAGACCTGGACAGCATGGGGATGTTAACAAAGTTGTCTGGACACAAGAAAGAAAAAGCTAACATTGGGGAATGAAAATGGAACATTAAGGCAATCTGGAAAATGCCAGAGACACAAGGGCCTTGGATGTGTCAGAAAGAGCATCTTGGGGAGGTGAGGATTAGAGAGATTCTCTGCCCATGACTCATTTCATACCCAGCCTGGCCAAGTTGGCAGCGGCAGCCCCCAACTTCAGGACACAGTGTAACAAGGGGAACAGGTTAATGAAAGCCTCCCTGTCATGATTATATTGTCTCTCATCTCCCTGAACTCTAAATCAGAGAGACACCTTGTTGGCAGAATAATGAAGAGATCCAAATATTAACAGATGTCATAGATTTTCCAGGTGGCATGGCTGTGGTCTTGGCATTGTAGGACCTGACGTTTCACCACAGACTTTAATTTCTTTCTGTTATAATGACATTAATGAAAATGTCTTGTTCAGCTTTTTAATTTACTCATATCCAAATGCACATCTCTGAAAAATAGCAGCAGTGGGCATGTTATAGTTCATTCTTTTCACTGACACTGCTTGAAAGTGCTACAAAACAAGTCTGGCCAGAAGTCACAGGACACCAAGAAATGAATGTATACACCATAAACAATGACAGCTGAACGACACTGCTCACAAGCTCCCAAAGGGTTATTATCCTAGCTCTGACAGAGATCCACAGGCAGAGATAACTCAAGTCCCTGCTGTGGAAGCAGCCTCTCAGAAAACTGCATGATCTAGAAGGCACCCAATAGACCATTCAAATGAAAACACTATACACTTCGGGGTTCCACCATGTAATTAACAGTTATATAGTTGTATAAAGTTCTCCTACTGACCCACAGCACCTGCCCAAAGCTAGCAATCATAGAGGAAACACAGGTATATAGCATACAGGCAAGAGTCTGGAAGACCTGGCACTGCTGCCTATGATTATTCTTTATGTGTCTAAATGCAGAATATACAGGACTAAGAGGGCAATCCTACACAAAGTTAGACTCTTCGAAATCGAATGATTAAGTAAGGTGTAATGCTGCTTGCCCTGACCTGGGTAGCCCAGGCTATCCCAATCTTGTCTCAAAAGCTAAGGAGGTCAGCTCTGGTCAGTTATTTGGGTGGGAATGCCAGGGTCACTACACAGAGGTGGACAATGGCAAACCACCTCTGAACAGCCCTTGCCTTGAAAACCTTAAGGGGTCACCCTAAGTCATCTGTGACTTGACAAAACAACGTTGCTTAGGATGGCACTGATACAGACCAACCTGGAACCCCCCACACACACATATATGGTATTTGGGGTATATTTCTTTTCTTTTTTTTGGCCGCCAAGTCCCAGCTGCTTTAGGGCAACCCCACGGGGTTTTCAAGGCAAGAGACATTCAGAAGTGGTTTGCCATTGCCTGCCTTGCCTCAGTGTCATGACACTCGAATTCTTTGGAGGTCTCCCATCCAAATACTAGCCAGGGCTGACCCTGCTTAGCTTCAGCATGTTGGAAAAATTGGTAAAATAGTTATGCATTCAGAGGTTGCGGTGGATCTTTGCTTCACTGGAGAGGAGGCATTTTCTTCTATGTAAAAATCTTTATTTCTAAGGGAAGGGGTCACAGGAAATCTACAAAACAACAGAGACACCTAAGGCTACATCTTTACACTTTGACCACACGGTCTACAACAGTGGAGATTCTTCTTCTTCTTCTTGACCCCTAGAAGGAAAACACCTGAATACATTAACCAATGATGGTGAGTAAATGGACTTCAGTTTCGCAGGATTTGTTTCCATTGGCTCTGTGCCAGGTTTCCTTCCAGGTCAGTCTAAACAGCAGCACACAAGGTAAACACACATTAACCCATAATGACTTAATTTTAGACCTTGCAACACACATATTTCCAACACAGCAGTCTGACAAGATCGGGCTAGCCTGGGCCACCCACCCAAGTCAAATTCTCCATCTATCTAGCAGTAAAAAAATGTTTAAATTTGCGGTGTCAGAAGTTATTGTAATTCACAGTACTAACATATCCAGAGCTTGAAAACACCCTTTGACTTAGATTCACTCCTTCCCTTTTGTATATTGAATAAATCACACTAGAATGATTCTTTTACAAAGCTGTTTTTTAAATTTGAAACAACAAAAAATGTTTTGAAGCCAAGATATTAGACAACTAATATAAACTTCAGTGCATTTTAAAGAAAAACATCTAAAATTAATTTCTAAGATTTTGGACCTTGTCACGAATATTATCTTTCTGTGGCGAGTAAAATGTTCTCCACATTGTTAGGAAGCGTTCTCAGATTATCACAAGAGCACTTAAAAATTGTTCCCCAGATAATAAACTCATGGGGTAGAAAAACTACCCTGGTGGCAAAAAACCATTGATTTCTGTGGTTGTTTTTTAATCCCAGATGAATTTTGGCTTTACGAATCAAACTGTACATAGTAACTAGCTGTGCTTTGGGAAAATTGCTTACTAACATACAGGTGACAATATTCTAAGCCAGTTTGGTGTAGTGGTTAAGTGTGTGGACTCTAATCTGGGAGAACCGGGTTTGATTCCCCACTCCTCCACTTGCACCTGCCGATGTGACCTTGGGTCAGTCACAAGCTCTGGCACAGCTGTCCTTGAAAAAGAGCAGTTTGTGTCAGAGTTATTTCAGCCCCACCCACCTCACAGGGTGTCTGTTGTGGGGAGAGGAAGGGAAAGGAGTTTGTAAGCCGCTCTCAGACTCCAAGTGAAGGGCGGGGTATAAATCCAATCTCCTCCTCCTCCTCCTCCTCCTCCTCCTCCTCCTCCTCCTTCTTCGAGGAAAAGATTTTCAAGCCACTTTCCTCTGCATTCTGCCCAAAAAAGTACCACCAGGGTAGCTAATTTCCCTCAAGGGTAGTTTTATTATTTAGGCTGTATTTGTACGTGTAGCCTCAGGGAGGCGGCTAACTGTGCAAACTGGCCCTCAGAGCTTGTCAATTGCTACTTTTATCAACAAATAGAAATTGCACCATCTCGCCACATAAATACAACATTTTATTTCATTCTGAAATCAGAACCAAAAACTGCTTTCTTCTTCTTCTCTAGAGCTTCCTTCTTCAGCTCCTCAAAGAGAAAAAGCATTTTGCTTAGCATTGAATTCAGTAATCCATAGACCTAAAAGGAGAAGGCAATTCAAATAATCCTTCAGCACAACAAGACAACAGAAAGCGGCACATGAGTGTAGACATCTTTTAGACAAATGGTCAACCAAACGAACATATTTTTGTACCCCACAACACACATTGGAAGGGGAAGGTTGCATATTTGACAGCTACTTCACACACAAAAAATGCACTGCTAGGTTGCTGTCACTAGCCAGGATGGTGGGGTACTGCTTCCTGACATAAGGAGCTACATAGGCTGAGATAAAACAGGAGTCCAGTGACACCTTAAAGACTAACAAAATTTATTCCTGCACAAGCTTTCGTGAGTCAGGGCATGTAGCCCATGAAGCGGAACGCTGACTCATGAAAGTTTATGGTAGAATAAATGTTGCTAGTTTTTAAGGTTCCACTGGACCCCTTTTTTGTTTTGCTGCTACATATTAACACAGCTACCCCTCTGGAATTATCTAGGCCAACTTCAGACTGGCAGTTTGCTCCGAGACAGGCACGAGCCAGAAACGTTTCACAAACGGATTAAAGGGGCCATTCACACAGGCACATCTGTCAGGCGTTCCCCAGCCGGACTCAACCCGTCTTGTAACGCTTCCCTCCCAAGTTTTAAAGATACCAGGTGAAAGTGGTATCAAACCCTGGAAAGCTAGATTATCCCACGTCCATCCCGCTTCCTGGAAGTGTGAACGTGAAAAGCCGCAATCCGGTAGGGATGCGCTTATGCGCATGAGCGCTTATGTGCATGAGCGCACATAACCGGATTACCAGAAAAAGCCACTTACAGCCGCACCTCCGGGCCAACAGTGTGAACGCTCCCTTGCGTCTCCTCCCCGGTATGCTCCCACATCAGTCGGTGCAGTGTGACCGGGAAAACCCGGAACACTTTGTTCCGGCTCTTTTTCACCACGACTCCCTCCCGCTTCAAACTGCCAGTCTGAATTCAGCCCCACATGGTCAGAAGCAATTTAAAGAGACAGATCCTTGAGGGAGAGGCCATTGCTCAGTGGTAGTAGTATACTTTACATGCGGAAGGTCCCAGATTCACTACCTATCCCTATGTAAATGGCTCTGAGGCCTAAGAACTGGGAAAAGTCCACTGAATCTTTGAGTATTCCTGCCACACAAAGTAGACAATTCTAGGCTAGATGGACTAATGATCTGACTCTGTATAAGGCAGCTTCACACGCATTGGGTTTAGTATCTGATATCTGATTTTAATTCTATTAGCTGAACTTAATCCATTTTAAGGATAATTTTAAAAATGCACCGTTGGGGACCCATAAGACTAGTAGGGTGAGAAAATCCCATTCTTTTCTCTCTTTTTGCCTGCCCCTGGCCCTTTCCCTCCCTTGAAGCCCTCTCCACTGGTTTATCTTGCTTTTATTGCCCTTCCTGCTGGCCCTTCCAATCCTTTCCTTCAATCATTTCCTCTGGAGCCCTTTAGCAGATGTTCCCTTCCCTGCCAGGAATGCTGGACAACCTCTCAATGCCATCCATGACCTAGCAGGATTTTGTGAGATTTTAGGCAGTATTACCCATTTTGGATCAAATTTAATCACCTCTTACCAATCCCCCCCCCCTTTTCTGGATTTTTTTGTGTAAACCTCCATGTGTTGCATATCTGTTTAACATGGCCTCATTGTGCAGATTTTTTGATCTATGTTCTTAGCTCATTGTTCAGAATTATATATATATATATATATATAATTGTGTGCAGCCATGGTTTTGTTCATGTTGGGCAAGTACAGCAAGGCCATCTAATTTTGCTCCACTTACTGACTACACAACCTCCATTAAACCTTGAGGATGCCATGCAAAATAACTAGGCAAATTCCATGGAAATATCCTTGGGGGGGGACAAGTGTATGCCCTGCCAAGGGCAGAGTACAAACAACAGTACAGCATAATGACATCATTTATACTTGTGCTCTAGAATCAGGGTACTGAAGATCAATTATGTGTGCTTCAGCAGCAGCATGCCAGAACACAAGATTGGGCTACACAAGAAAGGGTTTTTTTGTCTTTTGAAATTTACAACTTAATTCTATGCATGTTTACTCTAAAATATGTCATTCTGAATTCAATAGAATTCAGTCAAAGTGTTTTTAGATATTTTGTGGCATCATCTTATTATGCATAAATCATTTTACCACCAGTCTTTAATCAAACTATTCAGTAGATATGCGGCCAGATGATCCTATAGCCCATTAGTTATTAAGGGATCTAATAAACCTTGGACACAGAACCAATATCACTGACAGTGCAAGCAAAACTGAAACATGCTCAGGCAATAACAATTTCTCCACTTTAGCAAGCAGAGACAAACACAGCCTGGACAAATAACACTGGGGTAGAAAACACACAGAACGACATTACTTTTTGCCTTTTCCTGTGACCTATTAGGCCATCTTCTATATGGCTATGTGAGGTCAGTAATGATCTTTCATCAATGACAGAAAACAAACAGGAGGCAATTCAGATCGTTCCTAAGCTAACTTTGTTTTATTACCATAACGGTGAAGGTAAGTAAGATCTGGGCACCCAAATTGTAATTCAAAAAGTGAATTAAGCCACATCTAGCTAGTTCAGGCAAAAGCAAGTCAAACTAGGGCCACCTTGATTTGTCAACCAGTCTTCCAGCCAGCAATACTATATCAGTGCTCTAAATAGTTTCTTTGAAATCCATACAGTTCTGACAGATTTTTCTGGTATAGTAGGCCATCATAAATTGCCTTACTACTTTGCCCTGTATGATTAGTAGAATGAGAGCAATTATCTTGCTTGTATTTAGGCCTTTGTGGAGACTCCGCTTTCTCTCATTCTTGGCCTCTGTATTCAATCCTCCAAGAGAGTGGATGAGAGACAAGGCTCTACTAGATCAGCCTGGGTCTGCACCCCTGATGCAGAAGCAGAATTTACTTTAAGGCCTATTATGTACGCGCAGCTTACTGCAGAGAATCCAAGCAGCCAAGCCTTTAAGCTTGACTTCGGATTCTGTACCTGCATCATTATTTTTTCTCTGGTGTATTTATTCTGCAGCTACATCCCAAAAAATACAGTTTTTCTTAATTGGGGTGGGAATGTCACTTGTGACATGTGGGGGTGGTGTCCAAAGGGTTTAAAAAAAAATTATGCAATTGCATGATCGCAGCTGCACAGTATCATCAACTAAGCCCGTTCCATTTAGCCTCCTGGTTCAGCTTGTTGAATGAAAGGGAACACAAAGGTAAATAGGCAAAGTTTTTAAAAATCCTGAAATAGACCAAACTGTTTATGAAACTGACTAGAGCAGCTTTAAAGCACCCTTTTCTTACTGCCACACCCTAGTGGATTCTCTGCTGTGTTATCGGCCACTGTGAAATATGGAAAAGTCACCACTCTGTCATTCCCCTCTTTCATTGCCACACAAGCACCATTTTGAATTGTTTTTAAAATTATTTTCCTCATAGCTTTAATTTTTTTATAAGCAGTATGAGACTAGCGATAAAATGTTAATCTATATCACCATATGCAAGAGAGTGCACAGTAATGCCTCCCTGCAGGCACAACTTTGCACTGCCTTCTCCAGCTGCTGTGTTTAAACCAGGCAGCAAGAGAGGGCAGCCCGGCCAGGATCGCTGTGCCTGTGGGGAGCCAATAGCTCTCTGTAGGAGCAGCTTTGAGCTGCCTTCTCATATCACTAGACTCATGCCACTTATAAAAAAAAATTTAAATATAAAACAACAAGAGGAAAAGTAATCAATGGAGGTTGCCATATCGACGAATGGCGGAAGGTACAGAACAGCCTTGATGTGGCCGGGGGAGTGACATTCAAGGGGCAGCAAAGGGGCAGGTGGGATCTGAGGGAATCTGTACGCTTTTGAATTACTGGTCGTGGTGGTGAGAACGGGGGGGGGGGGGAATCAGCATAAAACCACTCTCAGAAAACCCAGGAAAACAGTGACCAGAAAACAAACTGAGTACTGAAGGGGGGGGAATCAATACAGAATGAAAAAGAAAACCTAATGGAGATGTACCCATGCGTAATACGCCTAAGACAAAACCATCTGACAAAATGCTCTGCACCTGGAGAAGTCACCCATCTAACCAGTGATATATTTAGGACTCATCCTAGGGTGGTTTTAGGAATTCATATTACATTAAAATAAATGTAGCACTGGATGGAATCCTGATATAAACTATTACTTGTCAAAAAAAGCAGAGCATAAAGAAAATGACTGAGATTTGCTCACAGGTAAGCCTAACTGATTTTAGTGAGGAATGTAATTTCAAATGACCAATATACGACTGCAGCTAGAGCAACAGACAAATGAACAAGAATGGCTCTAACGGTACTTACTTCAACATAAAGTTTCTCATGGTATTTTTCCTGCACAACTGGGTCCACGTGTTCATGTCGAGAATGGGCAGCTTCTGATTCTACACGGTCTAATGGGAAAGGGGTGTGATCCCTTGGCTCCTTGGTGGAAGTTTTCAGTTTTCGCTCTTCCTTGGACTTCAATTTCTTGCTGTTTGGACGTTCCTACTCAGAAAAATTCAAGTATGCCCAAGAGAGATCTCAGCATTTTTTGTAGTCTGTATACAAATTGCCTTCAGATGCATATCACATATACATCTCAACAAAAAGTCAGATCACTTCATAAACCTCAACGATACATCCTAATAACCTTTCAAACATCTTATCTGAATCTTTATTTCCAGTATTCATCTTGAAGGGGCCCCCCCAAATACCTCTTTGCCTGCCTTTCCTCCTTTTTTTTCCTCCTTCCCAGCAGACTTTTTATCTTCTTTCTGAAGTCTCCGTTCTTCCTTCCCTCCCTTCAGAAGAACTGGTTTCATCTCAGCTGCACAAAAAAACCAGCATTTCACTTATATGAAAACTGGGAAATCAGGTTGCTAAATATTCATTACTTTACTGGTCCCTCAAATGAATACAACCATACTTTGGCAGATATCCAGCTCTGAAAAGCAAGTTAATTAATGAGCCAGTTCTGTGAAGATGTTTTGTTGCTGAATCTATGGCTGTGGTCACACAAGCAGTTTGCTGCAGCAGTATATCGGCTCTAAATAAGTCACAAGTTTGGGACACTTTGCATCGATCACACAGTAGCCGCTAAGCCGACATCATAGTGCCGTGGGCCTGTGGTCAGTTATTCACATCGGTGGAATTCTTTCTCATGCTTCCTCACCCAAACACCGAGCTTTGCAGGCAGCCACAGGCAGCCAATGGGGGCACTGAAGTGCACCTCGAAGTGGGGTTGGAGGGGGAAAAGGGACGTGCTGGAAATGGAGAGGAATGATCACACTGCTCGTGCATTTCCATGGTGTGCCCAGGCGATCAGACACCCAGAAACCTGCCATGGAAGCGCCTCACTGAGGTAGCTACCAGAATTTGCCGGTGGCTATCTAATCTGCATGAGAGTTTGTAATGATTTCATGTTTTGGTGTGTGTGTTTCTTTAAATGTTTAGTTTGACTGCAGTAATGTAAGGAGTGTGCCAGAGGGAGATACGTGTGATGTGATTGGCTGATGACTGAGAATGTGAGAGGAGGGGTGTCTCTGAGGTGATTTTGTGTTTGTAGAGAGATGAGTGTGGAGAGGGTTTTTTTGTGTGAGAGTCTGTATGACAGAGGAAGCAGTTGGAGTTTAGGTTAGCCTGTGTGGCTATATATGAGCAAGAGAGTTCAGCCTGTGTGGTTATATATATGAGAGACAGATAAGCCTATCAGAGTTGAGTTTTGGTGTGTATGAGAGACTGTGTGTGACGCCAAGCCTTGTCAGTTATATTTTCTTTCTTCAACAACAGTTCAAAAATACCCAGAAACCTATTTTGTTCTTTTATAAATCAATCAATATTTGTTTAAACTTATCCCAGCAATCAGAACAGTCCTTCCTCAGGGCCACATAGTCCTCTGAAGCGCCCAAACACTGGGTCATTCTACCAAAATAGAGAGAGTTTGAATTTTTAATTCCTGGTGGCAGCAGAAACCTACTAAGTTCATGTACACAGAGTGTGGTTTGAAGGAGAAACAGTCTCCCTGATAAGTGAGGACACCACAGAGTTGTTTTAGCATGAGGTAGGGACGACTGGGGTACAGGAGCCAGATATGCATGTTTGACTGCGCCCAATTGATCCGGAGGGAAGGGGTGGCTATGTCAGGTCAAACTGCTCATGTGATCGCACCCTATATCTGCACTAGCAGTGTCTACCCAACCCCACAATTCTGCCAAGCTAAATATCCTCCCCTGTAATCTGGTCTTTTAAGACTGTCACTTACCTGGTTCCTCTGGGACTTCTGTGTAAGTGTCCTTCTCAGGCATACCAAGCAGGGACCTCAGCATTAGTGAACGGCTCACTAGACCATCAATTACTTCACGCCACAACTGGAAACTAACATTAAAAAAAATGGTGCTGGATGGATAGCAGAGAGGGGGCAGGGCAGGTCAGAACTTTGCTGGCTGTTATGATTTTTCTTTATAAGCAAAGGGTTGTGGGAGAGCCTCAGATGAGCACATATTGGTCCACAATGTTGACTAGGCTCTGCTGATAGATAAAAAACTGAGAGGCTGTTTGACAGGAGATACATTGATGAGTAAAGAAACCTAATGCCCATCTGAGATCTCCATAAACAAATTCTAAGAGACATTTTATGTTTCTAAAGAACAAAGCAAGGAAACATGATTCTGGTTCATCTCCATAACAGCCTTAAAAACTAAAATGGCTACACACCAAATCAGAATATCTCATTTCTCTTCTGCGACTGGATTGTTCTATCTATTGAAAACCCTTCCTCCTTCTCTGAACTAGAGAGCTTTCTGCAGTTTGCCAGATAAATTAACTCTTTGCAGTATTAACATACCAAATCTGGTACATGAGGTCAGTCTGTGGTGGTATCTGTACATTACAAAGCTCCAGTGCAGCTTTATTAAGTTGGGCCAGAGCAGCTTCTCGCTCATTTTCCACAGGGATTGCCAGCAAAGTCTGATGGGATAAAATAAATAAATAAAAAATCACGCTCAATGTGACTGCAGTTTTAGACAGACAAATATATTTGGCTTTCCATAGCCAGCCTAAGATCATCACACCTTTTTAAATGAAAAGGATAAAAGGGCTGTTTCACTCCCCCACCCTACCCTGATACATGGTGAAACTCTCGTTCCTATTATCACAGGCAGACCTGAATACTTGATATAAGAAACCAGCATTTCTAGAATATGGGATCTCCTCTGATCCTGGATATCGTACTCACTCAGAGGCACACATATATGTCTTTAAAATATGTGCCAGCTTGACTTAAAAGGAATATTGTGCTGGTTTCCAGTGCAAACATATGTTCTAAAAAAACTCTGGAACTCAGTTTGGAAAATGAACATAATCAAGTGAACATGTGTAATATCCTTCTGACATGATAAAGGTAAAGGTTCCCTTGCTCGAAAGCCAGTCGAGTTCGACTCTAGGGTTGCAGTGCTCATCTCCATTTCAAAGCCGAAGAGCCAGTGCTGTCCGAAGATGTTTCCGTGGTCACGTGGCCGGCATGACTAAACATTAAGGCGCACGGAACGCTGTTACCTTCCCACCGAAGTGGTACCTATTTATCTACTTGCAATTTCTTGCTTTCGAACTGCTAGGTTGGCAGGAGCTGGAACTAGAGATAGGAGCTCACTCCGTCATGCGGTACACTCGGGTCTCGAACTGCTGAACTACTGACCTTCCACAGCCTGCAGTTCAGCGTCTTAACCACTTGAGCCACTGCAGCTCCTTCTGACATGATACAAGCATATATATCTTAGCACATGCCTGCCTGTGTGTGTGTTCTAGTGTCTTAATAATGGAAACAATCTTGATACACTGCACTTTTTTAAGCTGTCAGTAACAGAAGTTCTTGGATACACTACTAAAAGGATGGAATATGCTGGGAATATTTAAAGGTAGAGGAAAAATAAGGAACACTGTGGTCAACCACCTGTCTCAAATCTGTGATGGAAAGATTCCACTCCACACGATTCACATCCTCCTCCTCATCAGGGACACTCCAGTGGCTCATCTCTTCCACCACTGACTTCCGTGCTCCCGAAACATCCGGGGAGATACTCTTGCTTGTATCTTCCACAGGACTTTTCTGTTGCAACTCCGGAGCGCTCTTTGGTCGGGAGAGTTCATCCGCATTCTTCAGCTGTGAGCCCCCTTCATCTGTAGCTCGAGGAGGATTCATGAGTTTGTCCCACAGTTCATGAAGCCCCTTCACCACTTGGTGCTGGTAGTGTAACTGTTACAAGCACAGAAAAGAAGAAGACTAGGCAAACAAGAATAGTAGACATAATTATATAAGAGAAACAAGTGTCTAAACAGATTCTGATAGTTCCAGACAATAATCAGGGCCTCGGCGATGGAAAACCCCTTTTTCTGGGATACATTTTGATACACCAGCTATCAATTGGTTAAAAGTGGGCTCAAAAGTTTCACAAGAGCATTCTGAATTAAGTCAATTTTCAGGAAGCAGCCAATGTGCCCTGTCCCTTCTGGCCTCTCGACATTTCATTCCAACCTGATTAGGCAACTGATTGATAAATGGCCAGCGATGTGGAAATCAAGGAGACCGTTCAGGAACATCTCTGTCTTGACTGTTATCTCTTTCCTGTTCTTTTTGCCTTTAGTAATTAACAACACCTTGTCTGGCTTCCAAACTAATTTCCCCTTGGTCCCATATTTACAAGTGGTGCTATATTCCCATCACCCGGCCTAGTTGACCAAAATCCCACAGCAAAATTCTGTCTCTACAAGTATATATTTTTCAAAAGGGGGGCGGGGGGCAGGGTAGCCACCAATCAGACATCTGGGGTGAACACTTGTCTATCATGGTCCCAATCCTAGTAATTTTCAAGGTATTAGCTGAGCAAAATGCCAAGAGTGAAGAGCCAGAATGAAAAGGTTAGAAATATTATAATCTCTCTGTGTTTACTAATAAGCATACCTTTTTCAGTTTAAATGCTCTGCACTGGAGTAAATCTGTATGCTCAGCAATTATCTTCTGTTCTTAGGTGCTTCAGTAACAGTACTAATTAAAAAACAGGGTACTGAGGAAGTTGTGACAAACTCAGTAGCAGAGTATGGGTATGACAGACCAGAACCCAGCATATACAGCTCTAGGCAGATTACAGGGTTTTAAAATGCACCAAAGAATCTTGGGAAAGAGAAGCAAAAAACCCAGCCACTTTCATTTTGAGAATATAAATGCCAGCAGTTCATCAGATAAACATCATGTAGCTCTAACTGAAACACAGAAACCAAGAGATAATTTTTTTTAATGTAGAATTTAATCAGAACTCACAAGACTCTGCTTTTAAAGGGGTGGTCAAACACCTATGGGTTAGGTTCTTAATTAAATTCCATATAAACAAAAATGGGAACAAGAATTTATAGACATACAGAGCACCACTGGAAATTCATTTGTATGGAGTTCTGAAGAAGCTGTCACATTAAAGGAAATACATAAGATACTATACAGGCAATATGATTTATTGGCTAGAATTTTCAGAAGAGTGTAAGACAGTATGAATACGTGTGTAAGGCAGCATGGAAGTCTAGGTGCTGACTTGCTTTTGGTAAATAAAGTGTAAACAGATTATGGGATTCCAAAGGGTTATCAGAATTTTTTTCATATAGGTAAACGTAAAGGTTCCCTTGCTTGAAAGCCAGTCGAATCCGACTCTAGGGTTGCGGTGCTAATCTCCGTTTCAAAGCTGAAGAGCCAGCGCTGTCCGAAGACGTTTCCGTGGTCATGTGGCCGGCATGACTAAACACCAAGGAGCACGGAACGCTGTTACCTTCCCACCGAAGTGGTACCTATTTATCTACTTGCAATTTCTTGCTTTCGAACTGCTAGGTTGGCAAGATTTTTTCATATACTATGAGATATAATCATCCACATATGGCTGCAGTACATTGTATTGATTTATAGAAAGAGGTTTAAATCCTTCATGGTCGAAAGTGCTGTCAATTCGCAGCTAATGTATGGCAACCATGTAGGGTTTGCAAGGCAAGAGATCTTTTATAGTAAGTGGGAAATTACTGCTAGGATAGATATAATAAAGAGCTGGATACATATATTCTTGAGGTGAACATAAGAGAAGCCAATGCTGGATCAGGCCAATGGCCCATCCAGTCCAACACTCTGTCACAGAGTGGCCAAAAACACCAGATGCCATCAGGAGGTCCAGCAGTGGGGCCAGGTAAAGCAACCCATCTTAAATGGTTTTATTCATAATGAAATAGACATCTTTTGAAAGAGTATAAGCTCCATTTCTTAATTTCCTGCAATATTCTATAATATGTTACTCACTAGATCGTAACAATCCAGTAAAGTAAAGGTTCCCTTGCTCGAAAGCCAGTCGTATCCGACTCTAGGGTTGCGGTGCTCATCTCCGTTTCAAAGCCGAAGAGCCAGCGCTGTCCGAAGACGTTTCCGTGGTCATGTGGCCGGCATGACGAAACACCAAGGCGCACGGAACGCTGTGACCTTCCCACCGAAGTGGTCCCTATTTATCTACTTGCAATGTCTTGCTTTCGAACTGCTAGGTTGGCAGGAGCTGGAACTAGAGACAGGAGCTCACCCTGTCTTGCGGCACCCGGGTCTTGAACCACTGAACTACTGACCTTCCACAGCCTGCAGTTCAGTGTCTTAACCACTTGAGCCACCGCAGCTTCCCTAACAATCCAGTAGTATTAGCTTAAATATGCTATACAAAAGGAATATATCTATCATTTTCTGTTGGTTTTTTGCCACTATCCGAGTTATATGTCTTATATATGTTTTACAAAGTGATTTGTAACAATATAAATAACAGACAAGAAAAATCTGTTGCAGCAAAAAAACAAACCGAAAAACAGATGAAATCATTAAATACAGCTTTCCCTTAGGTAGATTTTGCCCAGGAATAAGTTCAATAGCACAGTCTGTATTCTGATGGGGGGGGGGGAGTTCATCAGCCTCCTTTTCTTCAAACACTTGCAACAAGACTCTGTACTCAAAGGGAATCTGGTTTACCTCTTCCCTGGCCAGGCACACCCACTCAGGCACCAGCTGCAGCTCCCCCCCACTCCAAGTTCCAGACCTGAGTCTGACAGTGTGGGTCCATGAACTGGAGGGTTCCCAGCATCCACTGAATATAAGGACCATGTGCTCTGAGCCAGGGGATTCCCAACACCATGGGGAATTTGGCCGAAGGGTTCACTATGAAGGCCCTCAGTTCCCAGTGGGAGCCCACCACCAATGGGCAGTCGAGCGGTGCTGTGAACACAGGGCTCCCTCTTCACTGGAGTTCCATCCATCTGAGAAAACACTAGGGGCTCCCCCAGTTCTCGCAATTCTGCCCCCAACCCTGCTACTAAGGCTGGACTGATCAGGTCTCTGGTGCATCCTGAGTCTATGAGTGCCGGTACTTAGATGTGGGTTTGGGGTGGTGGTGGTTTGAACCTCAGTCACAGTCATAAAAAACAAGGGAGATGGAGGCCTCACCAAAGCTGGTGATGGAGAACTGCGGACCTGCTGTTTAGCACCCTTCACAGCAGGTCCTGGTCATTTCCCAACAGCTGTTGAGGTTCCTCTTCACTAGATGAAATGCTCTCCAATTCCGCTCCCCCTCCCGACTGGAGGGCAGTTGAATGCTTGAGATGGCCTTCTTCGCTTCTCCCTTCTTCTTTTCTTTCGGCTTGCCTTCTCCCTTCTTCACTGCACCCGGTCTCCGTTCATGAGGGCAGTTGGCAGCGAAATGGCTGGGGGCCCCACATTTTAGACACAAGCCCTGCCGCATTCTCTGCTCCTTGTCGCTCCCTTTCCCCGGAAGCTGACCTCTCTACGCCCTAGCCTCCCAACCAGCCCCTAGCACTTTTGTGGACCCCACAGGAGGCTTGGGATGGTACATCTCCAGAAGGTTGCAATGGTTCTCAGCCTCACACGCCACCTGAATCCAGCCATTCAGAGTCACTGGGTTTTCCTGGGTCAGTGCTTTTTCCAGGATAGTGTGGATCAGGCCAGACTGGTAGAATTCTATAAGTACCTCCTCCAGCCAGCCTTGCAATTTGGCAGCATAGGTCTTGAACTCATCAGAGAATGCGCTGATGGACTGGTTCCCTTGTTTCAAGCCCGAGATGGGTTCTTGCCTGCTCCAATTTCAGCGGGTCCTTGTACTGGTGGCAGAGGGCCCTCATGAACGTCTCGGAGTTCGGGCCCCCCTACATTGTAAAGTCCCACAAACCAGGCAGCTGTGCGGTTTCGCAGCCGGGACCCCAGGTATTCTACTCGGTGTTCATCAGAGGCAAAGGTGTGGCCCCATTTCCTCAGGAACTTGTGCAACTGCTTCTCTGGGGTCCCATTGAAGGTAGCTTCCAGCACATCTCTAGGGGGTGCAGGAGCAAGGTGCAGAGGATGGGGGCAACCGGTGGGGCTTCTCCATCCCACTGGACTGGAGCAGCTCCCCCTTCCCCTTGCAGTCCCAAGTCACGGAGCTCCTGCTGCAGGACACCATTGATGGCATGGGGGAGGGCATCCAGGGCAGCCCAGGTGTCTCTGCGCAGCTCAGTCTTCAGCTCCTGCTGGACGTGCTCTAGGTCCCCCTTCTAGGCAACGGCTCACAGCCATCAAACAATCAGGGTCATCATGGAACACTCTCAATGCCCGGCACCAGTCCTCATCCAGCCACCACCTCCAGACTCCAGCAGCCCCTAAGGAGGGAGTAGCCTAGTCAGGGGCATCCCACTGTCTTAGCTTGGCCCGGTGTTCCTTCCACGTCATGTCACACCCCTTCGGTTCTCCTTCAGGTGGCATGGTGCCCCCCGTACCATCAGGTGACTTCATGGGGGTGGCCTCTGTTTCCATCTCCTTATCTCCTGCACTCATCACGTCCGTGGTGCTCAGGGTCAAGGGAAAAGGAGTTCCAACGCTATGTCAAGTCCTGGAAAGCAATCAATCTCACCAACACTCCTGTAGCAGCAAGATTTGTTTATTAGGAGAAAGGATCCAAGCATAGACAACTTTCATGTCAGAACTGATTCCCAGATGTCAGTCCTGACAATATACTGGGAAATCCCCCAAATGCCCCTTAGCCAATCAATGCGCCCACTCAGCCCGCGAAACGTTTGATCTGCCCATGATACTGCCCCCTAACACCTGCATACTGATGGTTACGCTATCTAGAAGCTGCTTAGACTACAAGGTCACATAAAACAATGAGATCACATTCTTCCCAAGGCGCACCTGGGAGGCTTCTGCATGAGAACTGTTACAAGCTGGAACTAACCAAGCAAAGCCGATATTCACTCTCCCCCTGCAGCAGACAGTAGAGATGATAAACAAGCCAGACAAGAAATATGGAAAATATCTATATGACAGTGAGAAAATATTGTGTAAGCAAAGAAAGCACTTGGCAAGCGAGGACCGAGCTTGACATTTCATCACCTTTCCCCTCCCACTGTTGCAGACCCCCAGGAACAGCTTAAGGGGAGGAGTTGGCAGTCTGTAGTGGGAGGAAGGAAATCAACACATGCACCCTTCCATTCATGGAAATCCTCTATAGGCCCAAACCATTGTTTTGACTGCACAGTATTACCAGAGATTTGGGGGCAAAATTCAGCGGGCATTTTCAGTCTTGAGCACTTCAGCTTTCATTTAGTATGTTTCTTTTTTTTTTTTTAAAAAAAATAAAAATAAATGTAGGAACTGTCAGTTACTGAGTCAGAAAACTGAAGGTTCAAGACGGCAGAGCTGTACAAAAACTTCCCATGGTCTCTAGTCTGGGTTCTCAACACTACAATTCAGCATCTTAACCCTTTTCAGCACAAGGCAAATATGATACCTCTGGGTTCATGCTATGGAATAACTCTTCTTCCGAGACATATGCATCCATAGGAGATGGTGTTAGTGGTGGTGTACGAATTCGATGAAGCAGGACTTTCAGATTCTCCTCCACTATAACTGCAATTTCCCGGGCTTTTATCTCTTGCTAGAATACCAAAGAAAGGCATACATGAGACCTGATAATGCAGAATTATACCCTGAAGTCCACTGAAGTCAGTGGGCTTAGAAAGATGTAATTTGATTTGACATTTTCTCCAGTTGTTTTTAGCTTAATCTTTCATGTTCCTTGTTGTAATTCCCACTGTTATTTAATTTCATTGTTCACTGCTTTTCTAGTCCTGTTTTGAATTCATGTTCTAAACTATACTAAAATAAAATTTAAAAATATTTTAAAAAGAAAGATGTAACTCTGCTTAGGACTGCATTGTAAGCCACTTTGCAAATATCAACTAATAAAAATATTTGCACGTTCTGTCTACAGAGTCAGATACATAAAACAGCAGCCATACTACTGCATATATATGATACAGCCTTGATATTATTATTTAATATTTATTTCTGCCCAAAAGCTGCCAGAAAAAAATTTATTTGACAAGAAGAAAATCGACCGCAAAAAAAAATCTTTCTGTCAGCTTAGTTTAGTCTATATGATGGCCCCCTACCGTGATATGTCCAATCTGGCCAATTAGATCCATGCCACACTAACATCAAATCTACATTACTTGTAATACACTCTACCTAGGTCACTCCTCAAAGTCAACTCAGAGACTCCAGTTGGTGTAGAATGCCACTGCTTGGTAATTATCAGGAGCTGGGCACATTAGTCCAATTCTGCAGTCACTCCACTGCAGTTACTGGGCTCAATTACTGGGCTCAATCAGTTACTGGGCTCAATTCAAGGTCTTGGCTATAACATACAAAGCTCTTCGTGGCATGTCTGTGCTTCTCCCCCTGTGCTCTGCCATGACAGCTTTGCTCAGGTGAACAGGGCCTTCTGAAAGCTCTACCCTGCAAATGGTCAACCACTCCCTGCATATGTGCGTTCTCAGTTATGGCTCCACCTTAAGGAATGGCTTGCCTGATGAGGTCAAGAGGGTTCCCACTTTCCTGGCGTTTCACAAACTCTGCAAAACTGAATCATTCAGGACACTTTTACAAAGGTAATAGGGCTTTACTATAACAAAATGTTTCAGGAAGATGCTTTAATAAAGAAAGCAACTGTGGACAGTATTTGTTCTGTATATATTTGTTTTGTATATATTTGTTCTCTATATATAAACTGTGGACAGTATCTGTTCTGTATATATTATCGTAATATGTAATTTCTGTATTATTTAATACTTATGCTCATGAACTTATGTTCATACTTATGCTTAGTTTCAGCTTTGTTACTTGGTTTTAATTTCCACAATCCTAATCCTAGTACACTGCTTACTGGATATCCTATCCTATTGATTTAACTCTGCGTAACCCACCTTGAGTCTTTCTCAGAGGCAGACTATAAACAAACAAACAAAAACAATTCAGGACACAGGTACGGTATATGATTTTTTAAAATATGAATGTGGCATGTAAGTAGGCAAACAAAGTATTCTGTAACATCATATATTTATTTCTGAAACCTCTTCTCAGGATATAGATAGCCTTGTTTGTATACTGCAAGAGTTTCAGGGGTGTAGCCAGCGGTGGGGCTTTAGGGGCAGAGCCCCCTATCGGATCTTCGAAGCCCCCTACCTCACTGGGCCAGGAGGAGTTAATGTTCAGATAAGCAGGGGTTCACTGCATTTATTTATTCACTCTTCTATTTCTGCAAGACGAGAGGAGCAGAGCGAGAGTGATGATGATTTCAGAGGGGTAGCTGCGTTAGTCTATTGCAGCAAAAATAAGCAACAGCCTGGTGGCATCTCAAAGACTGACAAAATTTTATTCTAGCATCAGCTTTCATGGACTGCAGCCCACTTCTTCAGAGTGGGTGCTCATCCCTGCCTTCTCCACTGGTAAAACTCTGGGGACTAAATATTGTCCTTAGTTATGTACGGAATCAGAAAGGTGCATTATCCTGGTCCATCTACCTCAGTGCTGTCTACTTTGATGTGGAGCAGCTCTCCAAGGGCTCAGGAAGGGGTCATTCCCAGTCCTTCAAAGCCTTTTAAGTGGATATGCCAATGATTAAACCTCATGAACACCAAATGTTGTGTGTCCTACTACCAAACTAAAGCAAACAGAGGACAGAGTGGGCAGAAATTACTTCCAATTCTAAATAAACAGAACCTTCTTGCAAAGAAGAGGAAGAAAAAAAACAGTTGGTTTTTAAACCCTGTTTTTCTCTACCTTAAGGAATCTCAAAGTGGCTTACAACCTCTCCCCACAACAGACACCATGAGAGGTAGGGGGGCTCAGAGAATTCTGAGAGAACTGTGATTGGCCCAAGGTCACCCAGCAGGCTTCATGTGGAGGAGAGGGGAATCAAACCCTGTTCTCCAGATTAGAGTCTGCCGCTCTTAGCTACTACACCACTCCAAAAAGGATACCAATCAGTTTTTATTGGCCCTAATAAATTCAGAATAACACTACAGAAACAAAGCTGTAGGCAAGTACTTTGAGATGTACGAAAGTGAATGACCAGAAGAACAAGCCCCCCACCCACACAAGGCTGTGGAAGCTCCAGCACTGAAATATTTATGGATAATTATCTGTATTTGTTTAGGCTTAGCTGAGCCTGCTCCACTGCATACAACAAAGTAACATTTCTTTTAAACCAGTCAGTTTTGGTACTGAGATGTACATAAACCCAAACAAGGGTATGTCTGAATTCTAAATCTGATCTAGTTTGGCTCCCTGCAATGGAAACCTACAGAATGTAGTTCTGAGGGAACAACAGGAATTGTCTACACATTCTCAAAATTAAAGCTCGTTAAAGTTGATTTAGGGTAAGAGTGCAGATCTGCCCCAAAGAAAGAGGTTACAAATCTCATGAACACCCATCCGCTCTGTAGGTTGAGGAGATGAGCATCACATTTTCTGATATTACGCTTCTGATCTGGTAAATATAGCAAGGCATAGGCTGGAGACTGTCTGGCTATTCTTTCCCTTTGTCCCTTCAGGAGTGTTCTTAGATTATATGAATGCTATGAAATCCATACTCCGACCTCCTCTACACAGGCCTGTAGCCACGGAGGACCCTTGGGGCGGGACCCCCCTACTGAATGTGCCGTGCCCTGTCACTTCCCCCTGCCCTCTCCTCTTCCAGTCCCCCTCCCCCAGGAGGTGGAGGGAGCCTGGGGCAGAGGGAGAGAGGCTCTAGCAGACAGGTTTTGCTGCCTAGGGACAAGCTGGGTGCTTCCTCCTCAACTGAGGGGTGGTGGAGGCATGGGGAGGAGACCTACTTAGCTTTCTTCCAGCTGCCAAACCCCTGCAGTGAAAAGGGTAGCACAACCCGGCAGCTGCCCAAGCAGCGCGCACATGGAGAGGGGTGCGCAGTCCCCCGGAGCTCGGCCAGACTCTCCAGCACTCTCCCCCACGCACTCCCTCCTCAGGCTTCGAGCAGCCATTCCCTAACAACTGGAGAGCAGTGGCCAATGGCTATAGCAGCCCCACCTGGCTGCCTACCCCCTTCCCTGGAAAGAGAATGGTGGATGGAGCAGCGGGAGCTCAGCAAGGTTGAGCCGGCAGCTTTTAGAGGAAAGCCAAGCGCAGGGGGCAAAGGCAGTGGTGAGTCACTTGCAGCTGGGCCCGCTGCTTTGCCTCTTCGCATCTACCTCAGGGCAGCTGGCATAGCAAGACCTGAGCGGCGTGGGTGGAGCCAAAAGGCTGCACCATGGCTCTTGCTACCTGCTCTGAGCATGGAGGAGACCTTTTATTGGATTTATTTTTATTTTATTAATTTATTTTTAAATTATTTTTGTGACATCAGAAGTGGTATCATGCCCCTGGTGCCCCCTGAAAATTTTCTGGCTATGGGCCTCCCTCTACAGAAACACCCAATGCTATTAGTTTTTTAAATGTATATATGACAGAGGAGATTTTTTTCTTCAGAAGAATGCTGCTGAGCAAGTTATCTCATCTCAGCCCTGCTTCCTAGATCCCAGTCCCACCCCATAACCTACACCAAAGTACAAAGCTCGCTGCCTCTGCCCCAATGGTTGAGTTACCTGTAGGTCCTCCCTAAGCCCTGCAGTTTTATCTTCATACACAGCAATTCCCCAGAGGGTCACCTGCAACACAGCTCCCCCTAATAACACAGGGTGAGTGCCAAACTCCCAGGTTTCACTGAAGATTCCAGCATTCAATGATTTGAAGATGAAGGAAAATTTCCTGGTTTCTCCAGGCAAGATAACACCTAAGAGGAACAGAAGAAACATACAGGGAAGGAAAACATTCTTATTTCCCCAGGCAGAATAATTCCTTTGAGCACTACTTTAAGCATTACATTTTATGAACTGGTTTGAGCATGTTTTTACGAACAATAAAAATGTCCCCAAAGCAGCTACATAAAAAAACAAAAATGTGCCGGCCTCCAATTAAAAGCTGAGATCTAGGAATGGCCATAGCTTCGACCTGTCATCACCAATACCATCCAGGAACAGATGAAAAAGCCCTTTTGCTGCTTGAAACAGGTCAGATGGGCCAAAAAGCTTCCCTGGCTCTGGCTCACCATGGCTTCTTTGCCAGTTATTTCACATATAAAATCACGAACACCCACGAGGATTTAGACACCATTAACACAAACAATGTTACCAGAACTCTGTCTAGTTTTATCTCAAACGCTTGGATGAGTTTCAATTGTTGTGACTGAAGGATGTGAACAAATTGTTTGTAGCTGTGTGATACACCCAACCACATCATTGCTAGACCCATGCCCACTTTGGCTCTTTACATCTTATCAAAGATTACCCCATGGAATTGAAGGGATGCTTTCTTTGGAGAGGGAACAGTCCCAGCAGTCTTGAAGGAGGTGGACATGAAATCTCTCCTGAGGAAGCCCTCTCTGAACATGAAAAATCTGAACAGCTATTTATTTTTTTAAAGTTTTTATTAATCATTTCAACAAAGATAACAAAAATACAATAATAGTAAAACAAAAATAAACAACCAACTTTCACTACGTAACACTGAGTTTGATCAATATTTAGTTCTCTGTAACATTATCTCTTTTATTACAACAGGGCTATACATTTACTATTTCTGTTATTTTCAAAAGAATCCAGGTTTTCTCGATCAAAACAACGTTTTTTCCAAAAAAGGGTACCCATTTCTCCAGGTAATTTGAAGTAGCCTAATGTCTTCTGTTATTTTGTCCATAATGGCATAATCCCAGATTTTAGAATACCAGGCTTCTATTGAAGCGGAGTTTGGCATCTTCCAATTTGTGGCTATAATGTTCTTTGCGGCCAGTATTAGTATCAAAATGAGCTCACATTGTATCTTGGGAATGTTTAACTCCTGCCAAAGGTTTAGTAGGACTAGTTGTGGACTCTCTGGTAGTGTGTAGCCAGTTACGGTGTTTATATGTGTTAATACTATGTTCCAAAAAATCTGGATTTTTCTGCAAGTCCACCAACTATGAATATATGAGCCAGCTTCACCACAGGCCTTCCAGCACAGTGGTGCGTTAGCGAGAGTTATATGGTGAAGTTTTGTGGGTAAACATAGGGGAGAGCCAGATGTGTTCCCATTGAGCTTCTGTGAATTCAGTTTTGCAATCTGTTTGCCAAGCTTTTGTGTATGAAGGAAGTTTCGCTGATGTATTTAGAAGAAATATTTCATAGATCCTAGATATTAACCCATTTTGGGGGGTCGTTGTTATCCAAAAGCAGTTTTTCATAATCTGTGGGGGTCCTCGTTATGGATTGTTTGATTTTAGGCAGATCGCAAAGATGTTTTAGCTGAAAAAAATTCATACCATGGTAATTGGTGGTTAGCTAGATTTTCGAATTCAGTTTTATTTTTAATTTGTCCTTTCTTTAATATGTCACAAAATCTGGTTAAATTGTTTTCCCTCCAAATAGGGAAGGCTGTGTTCTTAAAGGCTGGAAAAAACCAAGGCTGACCTGTAAAAGTTGTTATGGGAGAAACCTGGATAGAAATCTTATTTTTATCCCAGATACTAAGTGCAAGAAACGGGATATTTTGGATGTTTCTAGTCAAATTTGTGTCTTGTGCTATAGAGTTTTATAACAAAAATTTGAACAGCTATTTAGTAACTGAAAAATAACTTTTTTTGGTCAAAATACTCAGGTGTATGATGTGACCAGACCCATTTCAGCCTGTTTTGGAACTGAAACTGTCTCACTCTGACTGATTATCTTCACTGGGAAAGAGACAGGGCAGTATGATCCTGCTGATTCTCCTGGATCACTTGGTGGCTTTTATTACCCTCTACTTGGTGGTCCATGATGGGAACTGATGGCATCATGTCCCAGTGGTTCCAATCCTAGTAGGTGGCCCAAGTACATAAGGTGGTGCTGGGGGGACACCTGCTTGGGTCTGTGGGATTTATGCAATGGGATTCTAACTGCCCATCTTGTCCCCTATATAATTGAAACTGCTGGGAGAAATTATTTGGGGATTTGGAGTGAGGTGACGTCAGTATGCAGATGACACCCAGCTCCTCTTCTTTTAAGCTGACTCATTAAGCTAGTAATGGGGTGGATGAGCACCAATAAATAATCACACATGTAAGATGTTGATTGATAATGTTGTCAATCAGGGATTAAGGAGCCTGCTTGGTCTGTGGGGCTGTACTCCAGCTAAAGGGGCAGGTTTGCAGCTTCAGGGCATTATTTGATCTGTGTCTACATGTGGCAGCCCAGATGTCCTCTGTGGCATTTACTTAAGATATTTATATCCCTCCTTATCTCCTTCAACTCGACATGGCTAACAAAGCAACACTTAAGCTGCAAACACATAAAAACAGTGTAGCAGTCCATTAGCAAGATAAAAACTACACACGGGATAAAACCACAGCCAGATCTGCCTAAACAATTTACCAAATGCCCTTCACCCAGCTTCAGTGGATGAACCAGCTGCAGTCTTTCCTTGACAGGTATGGTCTGGCCAAAGCTGTCCATACTCTGATCACATCCAGATTGGACTACTTTAATGCACTCTACATGGGCCTGCCTTTGAAAACTGGTTGGAAGCTTTAATTGGTGTAAAAAGCAGCAGCAAAACTGCTGACTAGCACAATACCCTGGCTATCCATTCAGTTCTGGGCACAATACAAACGGCTGGTTATTAGCTTTATTTATTTATTTTTTATTTATACTTTCAATTTCTATACCGCTCAATCCCAGAGGCTCTGAGTAGTTTACAAGCATTTTACATTTCCTAACTAGGGCCACATACAATGTATATATATAGGGAGGTGGGTGCCTTCTGGGGAAGCTCCCGTAGTCTGCGACTGTGTGACGACTTCCTGCGCTGGCCTCTGTCCAATTGGCTCCGGCCAAGCAGCGCCGCTGCGTTGTCGTGTCTCAGGGCCAATCCCCGCCTGGAACGATTGCTGCTTGGTGTTAAATCGCCACCCTAAATGGTCTGGGACTAGGTACAAAGGACTCTTTCCTCCCATATAAATCTGCCTGGCTGTTAAGATGATCTGCAAAGGCCCTGCTCTATGTACCCTTATCTTCAGAGGTAAAATGGATGGTGGGTCACCAGAGATGGAGTCTTGCCTGCTGTGGCACCTCATCTCTAGAACACCTTCCCCACAGCTGGTCATCTGATGCCCAGCCTGGCTAATTTTAGGTAGTATGTGAAAAGTGTTTTGTTCAGCAAAGCTTTTGGTTAAGTTTAGTTGGCTGAGAGTGGGAATCACTGGGGGTGAGGCATTATTTGGTTTCTCTGCTGGCTATTGGCTTTGTTTACTGTTTTGATGTTTTACAGTTTTTGGCTAGTAGTGGTTCTTTGTTCTGGTGATTTTATGCAGCTGCTTTATTCATTATTATGTATGATACTGAGCAGTTGTTTTAACTGAGAATTGTTTTCAGTTATGTAAGCCAAGTGAGAAGCCTTGAGCTGAGAGTTACATGAGATATAACTCATTTACATGAACAAACAAACAGATGTGCGGCTAAACACCTCTTGGTCTCTCCCTAATGTTTGAAATGACCCAACAGAAGAATCAAAGGAATATGTTATTGATTTCATTTCACTAAGTGGTGCTTTGCCAGGATATCCCACATTTCTCTACATTTGGGGGTTTGGCTATTAGTTTCTTTGTCACACACATCATGCCCCAAGTGTTTTGTGAGTAACCACTCTCCCTTTAGTCACAGCACTGTATCAGTGTATAACAAGGACCTGGTTTTTTAAATATGCATCCAGTTGATTTTGAACTATGACACAACACTCCAGGCACAAAAGGTCAGGATTCTAACCAGTTGGGTGAAACACATAAAACGCCTCTACTATTAATAATTGCTTTGCTTTGGTCATCAGTACTGTTTTGCCACTGACACCTGACAACATAACAGCAACATGCTAACAAAAAGAGCTGTTCCCCTTTCTTACAGCTTCCCATGAAAGGACTTATCTAAAATATCTGAAGGGCATTGGAAAGGCATGGCCCATGACCAAACTGACATACTGTTACAAATCCATTATTTTCAAACCAGTCCCCCATGGAAACTATCCTTCCTGTGCTTATTTGGCATTTATATGAAGTTGTCCCGCCGCGGGTTCTACCGCGGCCGTATCGGCCGCTGCGGCGGGACTGGCGCGACTCGCGCCGACTTCCTCGAGACCGCCCACAGTGGAACGAGGTTCGGGAGTCGCATTTGGGGGCCAGGGAGGACGTGGTTTGACACCACGGAAGGGACGAGCCCGAGTGAACATACGAGACCCTTTACCAGCCGTTGGTACGGGATTCAACGAGGAAGGCACCGAGCGAGCCGCCACCACTCACGCTCCTAAAGCCGGGATACAGAGAACAGAGATACACGTGAAACGGGAAAACACAACTAGGGACCGGGGTGGATGGGAAACACATGGGGAAGATTGTTATTTGTAGCAGATGTTGATTGTGAGACTAATAAAGTGGAGAAACGGAAGGCACCAGGGAGGAAGCTGGAACGGATCGTGAGCAGCAAGAGAGAGAGAGGGTGTGCGCACGACTCTAACCCAGGAACGGAAGCTGGTGTATGAGGGAATACCCGGCCCGTTCACATTCTGAGGTGCCAGTTTCAAAGCGACAAGCGGTTTCACAACGGCAACGGGACACTCAGGTCTAGGGAGGAACACCAATCGTGACAGAAGTCATACATGTTGACCTTAAAAAAACGAATATGTCACCCACCGGATCTGGTGTTGAAGTAAAAATATTGCATTCTGGTCTTCTTCTCCTGAAAGGTTAAAGGCTGAGACTGCCTCCTCCAATCATACCAGATGGCTGCTGTACCATTGTTGCTCACTGTGAGCCATGATTCAGCTTTTTCACCTACCAAGATTTCAAAGGTGACCCGAGCAGCAATGCCAATTTCACCCTATTGGAACAAAAAGAAACAAAAGAGATGGGAGCCCCAATGCTCAAGTTTAGCCTTGCTATGACCCCTAGGCTAGGGCTAAAAGTCAATGGTGTTCCCCAGTTTCATTCCATCTCTTCTGTCAAAGACTCAAAGATTAAATTTGAAAAAGCACTAAAGCATCAATATCTTGGTTTACACAGTTCTCCATAATACACAGAAGCAAAGAAACTACCTCCTGATGCTCTGAGAGATGCATTTTATTACATCATTAGGAAATGTTATGTGACACACAAAAATAGAAAAATTACCTGATGAGAAGAGTTGTTGATCCAGCGAGCTGGCTGTTCACAGAACATCAGAGATGGGCCCAACACTGGTTCTAGAAATACATCCGGATATGCCTCTAATGGATCCCTAACAGACAAAGTAAAATATCAGGACTGTTTTTCAACTTTAATTTTTTTGAATTGGAATAATATCAAGACAAATGATATATATGTATGTATGTATGTATGTATATATGTGTGTGTGTATATATCTATATCTATATCTATATATATATGTATGTATATATGTATGTATATATATATAAACATAACACACTTACAGGATATAGACAGGAAGGGAAAGGACCAAGCTAGAAATTATCTCAGAAAACATATAGTTCCTATCTTCCCCCCACCTCCAAACTCCCTCAGGGAGTTTGTTGCAGGTTACACATCCCAGGCTACCTACCAATCTTCTTCTGCAAATGCCTTCCGTTCCCACTTACACTGTGAAGGAGACATGGGGTTGGAAACTCTGTGCTTCCTTTGTGTCCTGTTTGGTTCAGATTCTGCCACCCTGAACAACACTTACTGGATTTCTCTTCGTTCATAAGATTCTTTAATGTCATCAGAGGCCACAAAACCTTGTGCTGATACATTGACAAAAGGCTGATTTCTGCCTATGACTTCTAGGCCATCCAGATCCTTGATGCAAGGGAAAAACAGGGGGAAAGTATGGTGTTTCTGTTAGTTTTTCTTGTCATAAAGAAAATCAGAGTACTTCAATACAATTTATGTTACAGTTTCTTGTGAGGCAGGATGGAAGCTATGAATTAAATTATGTTATCTTAACCAGCCTTGTGCAAAGAGAAGGATATCATCATACCGGGCGATAAAAGTCCATTTTTTCTAAGATCTCTTTTAACTCCTTTCGTCGATGCATTAGAAAGAGGCTCTTTTCCCAGCTGCAATGAAAAGGGAGGTACTTTGGAGGTCTGGTACCTGTGGGAATAGTCAAATGTGAACCACACATTTCTATATCAATGCCTGTATGCCTCCTTTGAAAGACTAACCTGTTGGGCAATAATTGGATAAGAAGGATTCTACCCTTATACATCTAGCTGATAAACAGAAAACTTCCATATTTATGATTTTTTTTACTTTGTATCAGTCAATTTTATCCCCAACAGTGAACAATATAGTATATTGACATTTTGTCACTGCCCAAATGGATTCTGATTATACAAATGTCTTCAGGAAAACTAGTAAGGAATGCTTTCACTTGTGTGACTTCCTCATCAAACCTTCTTACAGAATGCCATGCTTATGATTTCTCACCCATCTCCATCCAGATGCTGTGTGGTCTCCCAACATGAGTCACTGGTTCCGGGAAGCCACGTTCACTCTGGCCCAGTGTCACCATCAGACCTGTGAGTTCATCTCCAATACACACAGGCTGGCTCCAAAATTCACTCCCTGCATGGTGGCCCTAATAAAGAAAGCAAAGCTGAAGGCTGAGGCATTTCTATTAGCAACAAAGAGGCACAGCAGGTGGAGGACAGCTGTTACAAAGAGAGGCTGGTTTAAAACAACCAAGCAAAAGAGTACTTGAATTACTCAGAGTGGATGAGGACCAGGGCTTTTTTTGTAGAAAAAGCCCAGCAGGAACTCATTAGCATAATAGGCCGCACCCAACAGCAGAAATTCATTTGCTTATTAGGACACACCCCTGACAGCACAGCTCATTAGCATATTAGGCCACACACCCCATGTTCGCAGAAGTGTGGTCATCCAGAGTCACTCACCTTTTGCTTCTTAGTCTGTTTAGAGCTTTTTTATAGCAGGAACTCCTTTGCATGTTAGGCCACACACCCCTAATGTAGCCAGTCCTAATGAGTTTCTGCTGTTGGGTGTGGCCTATTATGCTAATGAGTTCCGGCTGAGTGTGGCCAACTCGGGAGCCAGCCAGAACTCCGTTCCGGTGTGTTCCTGCCCAAAAATAGCCCTGATGAGGACTATGCCCAATTGTTAGTAACCAAAGTAGGATTAACATGAAATCTAGTCTACGGGCTCTTCCGGTATGGCGCGACAACGGGAGGGAGCGTGGACTTGAGCTCCGCTCCTCCCGAGCACTTTCGTTCTTTTTTGGGGGGCCCAGGGATGGGGGAGCACGACCCGCAGCCTCCGGACGAGATTGCGGGAGCATGAGGCTTCTTGCTGGACCCCCCCCGAACCCGGCAAACGGTGGGGTGCTCCAGAATTGCCCTGAAGAGACGCTGTAAAAGGAATGTTGGAAGTGAAAGGAAATAAGGAGGAATGGCAAGAAACGAGAAAGCAAGAGGAAGGGTTAGAAAAATAGAAGGAGAAGAAATTGCAGACTTCCCAGAGTTATTTGGTGGAGGAAGAAAGGCAGGAAGCTGACCCCGATAGGGTCGCTCCGAGGAATCAAAGACTACTTAAGCCACGAGCAAAGAAAAAGGGACTGTTATCAGATTTGACAAAGGACAAAAAGAAGAAGGTCAACAAGGATAAGAAAGTAAAGAGAGAAAGAACGAACTTCAAAATCTTATGGCAAACATTTATTGGGAATAATGAAAGAGACATAAGGGAAATGGAAATGGAAATAGATGAGTACAAAGACAGAAGGCACTGGGAAGAGAACAGAGAAAATCAAGTTAGAAAAGAGCTGAAATATTATGAAGACTGTGTTAGTAAAGCTGAAAGTAAACTTTGTACTTATGTTATGTCTCTCTCCAACTAAGAATCTAGAAGAACATTTGAAAGGAGATTGTAGAGTCCAGGTAGAAAACTGTGTTATGACCCATTTTGTTTGTCAATGATGTTTGAAATAGGTTTGCTCTTTAACCTTACTGATATTAAGAATGTTAAAAAATGAGTGCAAAGTCAGAAGGTGTACTTTAGATTTATTTTCGTTTTTCTTTATAAGTTAGGTGGAGGTGGAAATTATGTTTGATACCAAAAGTATTATTTTATGTTAAGTGGTTTGGTTTAGTGAGCTTGTTATTATGTTATATGAATGACTAGCTATGTTTACAAGTAGAATAAGGATGGTAAGGTAAGGAGAGAGTAAATTAGGAGCTAGTTCTGGTAATTGAAGTCAATTTTGCTATTTTATTGTATAAAGTAACTGATTGTAGGTATTATAATTGTAGGTATTATAAGTTGTATGTTTAATTGGTCAAGATTAATTTGTGTCCTATATGGCTATTTATTTCTGAGACTGGAGTACTAGGGAGTAACTATGAAATCATGAAATGACTATGAATTAAGTGAGGAGTAGTTTGGAAAGTGGCTGTGTGTAGGCTGTGTGTAGGCCTCTTTAAAGATAAGGTCTTCTGCTGAAATATCGCAAATGGAATATAAATGAATTCTATGATTAACAAGATTAATATTATAACTACTAGGTTATATAAATTAATTAAAAAATAGAATGGAAAAATAGGAGATGATTATATATATATATATTAAAAAACATGAAATCTAGTCTACGGAACTGCAGGATGAAACAGCTGAACAAATCATCTCCAGCAAATGTTCGGCTATGCACAATATTAGCAGCTACAGTGAGTGAGAAATCCAATGTCCTTGCGGGGAAATGTACCATTCTTGACTAGGCCTTATTTTTAAACCACCCCCTCTTTGTAACAGTTCTCCCTCCTCCACCCCAACCCCCAGGCCTTCTGTTGTTAATACAAATGTAACAGCTTAATGGATGTACACACCAATGTACTGATGAAGCGGACTCTGACTCACAGAAGTCTATGCTGGAATAAATTCTGTTTGTCTCTAAGGTGCTAGCCAAACTCCTGTGTAGTGCTAGCCACCTTGAGTACTTTTTCAAAAGAAAGGCAGTCAGTTAATTTATAAAATAAATGAATAAATCCCACCCTCTCTGCCCCATGAGAGCAGCAAGTATTCCAGATGGCATATAGTCTGGCGTACTTCATCCGTATTCCTATGTAAAGTGGCAGAGGTGGCTTAGGGGTGCCTTTTATCAACTTAGGCTGGTTCACCAACTGCAGCTCAATTACTACTCAGAAATACTGTTATTGGGAGGGAGGGCAGCATGGTATAGCCTGACTCATCAGATCTCGGAAGATAAGCAGGGTGGATACTTATAAGGGAGATCACCAACGAGGACTCTGCAGAGGAAGGCAATGGCAAACCACCTCTACTTCTCACTTGCCTCAAAAGCCACTTGCTGGGATTATCATAAATTGGCTGCAACTTGATGACATTTTATACACACAATATCTCTCCACTGCAGTCTTCCTGTGTTGCAGAGGTAATTACTTAAAAGACACACCCCACTCTATAAAGTTGTTCTGAGCCTGGAAGTTCCATTGAGCACATTCAGCTTCCCTTATTGCAATGGATTCCCCATCAGGAGAAGAAACGGCTACTTTTCTTTAAAAACAAACAAGCACCTCCTATTTTTGCAAACTTGCCTTGACCTGGATGGCCCAGGCAAGCCTGCTCTCATCAGATCTTGCAAGCGAAGCAGGGCTGGCCCTGTTTGGCTGGGAGACCACCAAGAAGTTCAGGATCGCTACAGGGAGGCAGGCACCTACCTCTGAACATCTCTTGCCTTGAAAACCATTTGGGGCTGCCGTTAAGTCAGTTGTGACTTGACAGCACTTTACACACACATATATTTTTGCAAATTTAATTCAGAGTTTTAAATAAATAAATGGATAATGAGGTTTCTAATAGAAGAAGAAGAGATTGGATTTATACCCTGCCCTTCACTACCCAAGGGAGTCTCAGAGCAGCTTACGAACTCCTTTCCCTTCCCCTCCCCACAACAGACACCCTGTGAGGTAGGTGGGGCTGAGAGAGCTCTGACAGAAACTGCTCTTTTTCAAGAACAGCTCTTATCAGAACTATGGCTTGCCCAAGGTCATCCAGCAGGTGCAAGTGGAGGAGTGGGGAATCAAACCCGGTTCTCCCAGATTAGAGTCCGCACACTTAACGACTACACCAAACTGGCTCTTGTGTAATAGTTTTACACAAATTTATTTTGTCTTATTTCCCCCCCAACAACCTGATTTTAAGAGTAACAAGTGTCACACTACCACATTAAAATGTGTACACGTGTAATCTCTTAACACTGAATCAATGATCCTCTTGTCAAACATGGTATACTAAAGGAACTGGATTGAATACTAAGTGCCAACAGCACAGCTGCTCTTGGCATTAGCTGGCAATGACAAATATTCCTGAATACACTTTTGTAGTACATTTCTGCTTACTAGAAATTATTAAAATATTTGTCCTTCATCACACTGTGATTCATGTGTAATCGCACAACTGGTGGTGATCATTCCAAGTTAACAATTATTTTGTACATGTGCAATTGCTGGTATATTTCAACTATGGCTGGCCAACTTCCATGGGTTTGCTTAATGAGAATCTTGTTATTTATTTATTTCTCATTTACACCCTACACCTTTGGCCCCAGTGGGGACCCAAAGCAGCTTATGTCCTTCTCTTCTCCTCCATCCTGTCCTCACAACAACCCTGTGAGGTAGGTGAGGCTGAGAGAGTGTGACTGGCCCAAGGTCACCCAGCAAGCTTCCATGGCAAAGCAGGGATCTGAACCTGGGTCTCCCAGATCTTAATCCGGCTCTCTAATCACTTCACTGCACTTGTCTCTTGGCAGTGAGACAGCTGTGTGTGCAGAATTCTTAACTACACATACCTGGAATTTGTCACAAGTCTTACCAAAAGTAACCCTAAAAGAAATAGAGGATGGAAGAATGCTACACACTGCCCTAAGTTCCTTAGAGCAAGGGTGGGACAACAATTAATTAGGTAGGCAGGTAGACAGAAACAATAAACCAGGGCCCTGAGCTAGTGTTACCTTTCCAGGGTAAAGAGCAGGGAGACAGCAATCAATTAAAGTACGCTCCTCCTGGATTTGCCTGTAATTGTCTGAAAAGTTCATCAGCAGCTCGCTTTCTGATTTCTGAAGTTTTTCTAAAAACAAGTCAAACAAGCAAAAGACTATTACAACTATATCCATTGCCCCCAAAGAATCAACCTTGTGTATACATCACTCAACCTTTAAATGCCATCTGTTCCACCCTCCAAACTAGCTTGAAACCGTCCCTCCAGACAGAGGTACAGAAAACACTGTGGGCACTGAATTGCATGCCCTCCGTTGTCTCAAAGACGAGTCTTTAAAACTATATTTTGAAATGTTCAGAAGATGCTTGCTATATGGTTTTATGTTTGACCTGCCCTTGCCTAGGCTCTGCCCATTTTTATTCACCACACAGCCCTTTCTGTTGTCTCTTCCTGAGTGCCATGTTCCGATGCCAGTTCTGAAGGGCCATGTGCTGTGATGAAGAGGCTAGGGTGGCTTTCTCTGTTTCGTCGTGTTTTGCTCTGTTCCTCCACCAAACTGGCACGGTGCTGGTCGTCTGCGGTGAGTCAGGAATCATTGCAGATACCTGAAAGTGAATATCCAAGTGTAGTTCGAGACCTCATTTCAAAGATGGCAAATAGGCAAAAAGCTGGCTTTATGTCTCTTGTCACGTAATACATAATATGTCCCTGAAAGTATTATGAACACTTGCTCTTCTCCAGGCTTTGTCCCTAATCAGAAATTTTCTCCTTTGAGTCCAAGGAGCACTTAATTAAAAGATACTAACTTTCCTACAGTGCCCTTATGGTATCTAGCAAATGTCACAAGCTGTCCTTCATTCTCAAGCACTCTGCAGTGGTGCCTCAAATAAACAGAGAGTCCCCTTCTGATGTTACTTCTGTGAGGTGGCAAGAGTTTCTTTCCATAACAACATCAGAAGTCATATGAGAGAAGTCTAATGTTGTGCTCCACCCCAATATGGTACTGTCATCCCAGAAAATGGGGCAACACTGGTATGGGGAAGGATCTAAACTGTGGACTTCTCCCACATGGCCAAAGGCTTCTCACATTACCCATGAAGTAGTGAAAAGAGCTGCACTACAGATTATGTTACTTTTGTAACATGGGAGCTTTGCCGCTTTCCCATGTAACCCAAGCAATGTCAAATGCCTTTGGGATTCCCGTGACATATTATTGCTCCTGCCCATGGTGTCAATTTTTTGCAGGAGACAGGCACCACCACGTCATTTGCAGGATTCAAATGGACCTTTTCTTCTCCTTTCTCTTCACTCCCTCTTCCCCACCACTCAGTGAGTGAGGTACACTGTCTTGCTGGTGAGAGGAAGAAATTTCCCCCAGTACTGAAAATAATTTATTATCTAGCACATTTTTTTCTTTAAAAATATCGGCCTTCAGAGTGCCTATGATCAGCATACACAGAGAGGAAAGCTGACTTACAGAGAACAGGAAATGGGTGATAAGGTTAGCAATAGAAGAAATGCAGAGCCCAGTGGCACCTTTAAGACCAGCAAAGGTTTATTCAAGGTATGAGCTTTTGTGTGCACGCACACTTTTTCAAATACACTGGGATGAAAGTTAGAGTTATAGACAGGCTGAACAGCAAATTTACATGTAACATGATGAAGAGGTTTTACGTTTTGCATAACTTAAAACATCTTCATCATGTTACATATTAATTTGCTGTTCAGCCCCTGTCTATACATTTGAACCTTACCTTCCATTCCAATGTATTTGAAAAAGTGTGCATGCACACGAAAGCTCATACCTTGAATAAACCTTTGTTGGTCTTAAAGGTGCCACTGGACTCTACATTTGTTCTACTGCTTCAGACCAACATGGCTGACCACCTGGAACAAGGAACAGCAATATAATCAAAAACACAATGCAAGGACATGCCACAGGGAAGTACTAGTACGGGCATGCATCCTAACAAAAGGGTGCTGTACTATAATTGTCATGACTTCATGGACATTTCTGAATTTCCATAGCACCATAAGTGGGTTGGGTAAGGATACAGTGGACAAGGTAATCTTATATAGTACTAATGGCATTATTTATCTAGTTCAACTAACTTTGCCTCTGAAACAACACTATACCACAGTTGAAACCAACATGAGAATGTCCTCTTGCTAAGGCTTCTTTCTTGAATTCCTGGAGGGTTCCTAAGATGCTGTGGGACAGGATGTGTCCATAGTTATCAACTATTGGTCCTTCTATACCTGCAATAAAACATACCACAGTATGTCATAGAATCTATCCAAGGAGTTTTAAAAAACCTCTATAGCATAGATCATTCTGGGATACCAAAAATGTATTATGAACAGTGTAAGCTAGAGATAACTGTACCAGAATAACGCAGTGTTTTCTTGGTTTCATCTGGGACAGCTGGATAAGCAACCAGGAAATGTGTTTTCTTCCCTGTTGTTTGGGGCTTGGATTTACGAACGAGGAACTTCTTAGTTACGGAAGGTTTCACCTCTTCTTCAGGAGGGTGTTCAGGATGGAGCTATAAAAACAGAATATGGCCCCAATGAATTCACACAGAGAATGGCTCTACCTTTAGTGTTCTCATTATTCTATGGATAGTAGGAGCTAAAGAAGTCACTTATAATTAAATAAAACTTTGTACCCCTTCCAAATATACATTAATTCCCTTGTAAATTAGTTGCCTGAAAGACGAAAGGATGATCCATGACGACTATTTCATACATGCAAGTGATAAAAAAAGTTCTTATGCGGGGGAAAATATTCCAGGAAAGAAGGGTAACCTGGTGGTGGGAAAGCAAGTCAATGTTGTATACCTACTTTTTTAAGGTCTTCCAACTTGATTGCCAGAGCTTGGATTTCATCTCCTTGCAGGACACAGCTCACAGGCTCTGGCTCTTCTGGAACTGGAGAGGAAGGCTGCTCAAAAGTTTTTGTTCTTCTCCTATCTGAAATAAAGGCACTGAATAAAATACTAGATTTTCTATGGAAATTTCATTTTTTTAAAAACAGCAAGGATGTTAGGATCCATCAGGAAGATTGTATTTCTTGAGTTTTAGGATCCCTGGTCCAAGCTGCCAATGTGGCAACCCAAGAAAAGGCCTTCTCACTCATGGCACCAAAACATTGGAACTTTCTCCCCAGAAAGATTAATCTGTCTCCCCCTACCATTGTCTTCCATCAGCAAGTGAAGATTTTGTTGTTTTGTTTGGCGTTCCCTCACTAACTCTTATTAGCCCACCTCCCTTTGTCTGTTTTTATATATTAATCTGTTTATTATTTTATATGTTTATATTATGTTTTTATTTATTTTAAATATTTTGTCTGTGTGTGTGCTTTAAATGCTTTTTAATATTTAAAATGTTTCAGCGTTTTCATTTTTGAAATCTTTTAATGTTTGCAGCCTTGGATATCCTGAACTGGGTGGAAAGACAGCATAGAAATTTTTTAAATAAAAAAAGTTATTTCTGAGCCCAATTCAAATTGCTGGTATTAATCTTGAAACCCCAAATGGCTTGGGACCAAAACATCTGAGGTACCCTGTGAGGGCCTGCCCATAATTTATTACCAATTGTTGCTGCCTTTCTCTACATCCACGAGATGGTCTAAACCCTCTCTGGTTTTCAGAACCATATGCCACCAGAACCTCTACATTAGTTCCCCCCAACCTGAGATTAGAGGTTCAAACTCTCAGTTGGTATCTGGAATTTAACACATTAGCAACTCACTCAGAGATGCACACTTTTACTCTTACAAAGGTATCTTAAATGGTGAGCATAAGGCTACAAGATTTAGGCTTGGAACTCAGGTACAACATCAGAGACCATTTAACAATCAGAATAATTTTTATTCAATACAGAGCATAGCACAGACTACCAGAGCTTATAAAATAACAAACCTAAGGCAATTTGCCTTAACTACACAGTAAAAGATACATATTTACCAAGTCAGAATAGCATCCAAGAGTTCAAGATTGTCCATTGTGATAATCCAAGTAGCACCAAGGGATTTTGAAGAGAAATCCCATCTTTGCACTCCATGTGCTTTAAGTCACAAAGCAGTCCTTTGTCTCTTCAAAGGACAGCATTTCCAGGTGCAATAAACAAGCAGAGAGAACAGGCGCAGAGAGCAAGAGAGGAAGAGACTCTCTCTTATTGGGATTGAACAATTATAGCCCAATTCCATTCATGATCAGCCGTGGCCATGCAGCCAATCACGAGTGGACATAGGTGTGTCCAATTGTTGGTTGCCATAGCTGCAACACAAGAATGGCTAGAAGTTTGGAGACTCCTCCTGCAGTCAGGTGACCCAGCTTCTAGCTACTTCATTTAGTATGTGACTTGTCGCATGTGGGGCCAGAAAGTGTAGCCATGAGGTCTGGCGTTTGGCATGGAAGTGTGAAAGAATGTGGGTTTATGGCATGGCTATTGAGGCCATTTGGCTTCAACAGGAAACAAGACACAGCATGTTATCAGAAAGACATCACAGGAGAAGGCATGGATTTTTAGAAATCAATATTTCTATACACAAGCTTTCTTAGGAGCCATTACCACCATACTTTGGATTTTCCTGCACAAAAAGCCATCTGGCTCCCTCACTTAATCTTCCACAAACATGTGACTATACCTTTCTGGAGACCTTTGGCCGGCAGGTAAATTTCAACTATGGCTTGTTGATGTCTCTTTTTAAAATATCTGCTGTTTTGTTGGCTTTATCACTGATTTTATTTTACTGCTTTTTATTTTGATACTCTTGATTTTATTCTTTCTATTACTATGGATTTATTGCACATTCTGTCTTTTTATGCTGTTTTACTTCCATCTTTATTTTTAATTAATGTTAATATATTTTGTTTTTAACTTTGCCATAAGCTGCACTGAATACTATTTTATTAGCAGAAGTGGTATGGTAGATATTTCTAAAATAAGGTAAGAATAAATATCTTGAATAGTTAAAAGCAAATTAAATCCCAAGAAGAACCAGGGGGGAAACTGTTATACTTCATCCCAAATATACCAGATCTAATCAAAAGCCACATTATTAAATATGTAGAACTATGTAATATTTCCCTCACCCAACACATTTTTCTAGCCACACATTATTCTTAAAAATATCACTTTAGAATGTAGAAAACCTTTAGTAAACAAATTAATATTTTCAAGAAAATATGAATTCAAGAAGATCTTCTCACTGCTTTAAACATTTGATTATAAATATGATTGCAGAAATAGACATATACAGCAACACCTACACAACCCAAAAGGCTGTTTGTAGAGAAGAGCTTCCCATCTGCACTGCAATGCAGATGAAAACACACAGATTCTTCCACACCTTGTAGTACAATTGCAGGCTGTGTTGGATGTCACACACCTAAATCTACATCACAACATAGATGCACACCCCCATCTAGTCTCCATGTGTGGTTGGTTCCCAATCTAGCAAGTGGATTTGTGTGTGGATTCCTTTGCTGGATGAAAGCCTCTGTCTCAGGATTCTTCAGTCAACTACTAGATGCTTTGAACAGTAACAACAGCTTTAAATAGCAGCTGTCTTCTTTATAGGCATGCACAACCCAACAGTTTCTGCATAATTTCCTACTGATCTTACCATAAGATGGTGGTGCAGATCACACTACATTTCATGCTTAGCACTCTACTTCTGTGCTTTCTTGCAGGATATCCTACACCTTATTAAAGAGGTATAATCCTTCATACAATCTGGTAGAGATCAAAGTCTCACACTATACCCTGGCCACTCTCCCAACCCTTCATTATCAATCCAAATTTAAAAGGGAATATTCATCTTTGCCCCTAGGAAACCACTGTCTGATTTAGTTAAAGTTTCACATGCTTGCTTCACAAACCAAAGTTTCATGACCCAGTCTTCTGTCCTTGGCCCACCCATAAGACAGTAGCACTGCTGAGCCACAAGCAACAGGTACATGAAGCTACTTCAGTACCACATTCTCTCCTCAGGCACATTTGCACAGCAATTTACTATGGTATTGCTTTAGCATGCTCCCTCAAAGACAGAAGTGTAGAAAATTGATATAAGTTGAGTAACAATTATTTATCTTGTACTTCTGAAAGCATGAATCCTGCAGAGAAGCTTGCACTCAGCACATTGATTCTACAATCAAGCCTATTTGTGGGATGGGTGGGTGAGAGCAGGAGTCTCCAGACACTGTGGATTGCTGGGGCTGGATGTATAAGGGTGGTGGTGGACATCTGGCCCACCTCAAAATTGACACAGAGGGCCAAACTAGATGTGATAACATCCTTGTGGCTGCCATGAGGGCCCCATTGCCATTTTAAAGTAATTTTAAAATGCCACACGGCCCAAGTCCTGATCGGGCATGCAGCATGGTGCTCTTTGGTGTAGCCAGTTTGGTGTAGTGGTTAAGAGCGCGGACTCTAATCTGGGAGAACTGGGTTTGATTCCCCCACTCCTCCACATGTGGCTGCTGGTGTGACCTTGGGCCAGTCATAAGTTCTTTCAAAACTGTTCTCTCAAGGGCAGTTCTCGGGAGAGGTCTCTCAGCCCCACCTACCTCACAGGGTGTCTGTTGTGGGGAGGGGAGAGGAAGGGAAAGGGATTGTAAGCCGCTCTGAGACTCCATCGGGTAGTGAAGGGCAGGGTATAAATCCAATCTCTTCTTCTTCTCTTGTTCCATCCCCACATGTACCTTTTCAAGTGCTGAAACAGCTGTGGGGTGTGTGTGTGTGTGGCCATTTGGGCAGTTGACAAGGTGCCATGGGGGAGATGAGCCCCCCTGCTCAGCACAATCACTTTAAAAAGGCGACAGTGTCCTCATGGTATTCACAAGGACTCCATCACATCTAGTTTGGTCCTGGCAGACACTGACTTATGCTACTTTCTTCAGTGCTCCCTGTGCCAATAGCTGCTCCCTGTGGAACATACATAAGAAAAGAGCTTTGCTGGCTCAGACCAAAGGTCCATCTAAGTCAGCATTCTGCTTGCAACAGTAGCTAGTCAGATGCTTATGGGGTGCCCACAAACACCGCATGAAGTGAACAGTTCACTCCCTCCATTGTATTCATTTACTTAATATTTACTTAATAACAGTTCATTTACTTAATATCACCTCTTTAGGCACCAGAGTTAATAGCCACTGACAGACCTCCACATTGTGAATTTTATTTTTAAACAACTCTAATTACTACCTGTCTCATAAGATTTATCCCACCCTTCCACCAAAGAGATCAGGGCAGTGTACATGGTTCTCCCTTCCCCATTGATCTACTATGGCCACCGGTCACACGGGAGATTTTGGCCCGGGAGAGGGACGGATCGGGAGTGCAGCAAATGGGCGCGAGCACACCACAACATCTGGGAATCGGCTCGCACCTGTCCCCGATCCGTCCCTTCAGGCCAATAATGCGCTGTAAAAAAGAACCACCCCCAGAGGAGGACTTACCTGGGACGCCGCATCAAGCGTGGCTGTGGGATCATCGGCACGCTCTTCGTTCATAGCAATCCCGGCTCCCGGCCGAACTGCGCATGCTCACACATGCGCAGTTCGGCTGCCTCACTTCCCTGTCAGTGGCTTCCCCCCGGCATCTGATCATGCCGGGGAGGAAGTGCATGGCGGCTCAGGGGATCTATGTGATCCCGCCGCCGCGTGTCTCTTTTGGTGCGGCTTTAAAAAGCTGCACTTTGCCCGTGTTCCCCCCCCCCCCCGTGTGGCAGGGGCCTACATCTCATGGAAGCAAAGTCTATAATTGCATTGTGTGAATAATACTTTCTCTTGTCTATCTGAATCTGCTGTCACGTGAGACACCCATATTTTGATCTGACACCCCCTGTGGTCAAGGGCCCTCAGACTGGCATCAGCACCTGCACCCTCCCTGCGCCTGAGGCTAAGGCACAGTGCAATAATGACTGGACTCCCTCTTGTTTGAACAGACTCTGCAGCACTCCTGCATTTAGTCTCCCCCCCCCCTCCCCGGAGTCTGAAAATAGCGGAGTCTGAAATTATATGCGAATGATGCCGTAATACTCTCCAGAACTCCCATAGGGCTGAAACGGGCTCTGGAAAAATTCTCCCTTTACTGTGACACTGAACATCTTATAATCAATTATAAGATCAGACGATGGGAACTTCAGGGGCATAAGCTGGAACAAGCCTCCAGCTTCAAATATCTAGGTGTGTAGTATTGCAAGCTTCTAGCACCAATACAATCCATTGTAGTTGTGCAGCTGATGCAAGAGAGAAAATAGCAAATAGTATTTTGACATTTTAGTGCTCTCATGGGGGGCACTATGTTCCGGCCGCTCTTAGATTGTTTAAAGCTAAGTCACTGGCCCAGCTGAGTTATGGAACATTCCTGGGGCCACCATCTCCCTCCTTTACCCCACTAGAGAGAGTCCAGTCTAAAATCCTTAGAGCATTATTACAAGTACCTAAGTGTGTTTCAAACACTTGGGTCAGATTGGAAACAGGAATGCTTCGGGTAGAGGCTAGAATTCATATTCTCTCAATTTATAAATGGGTAACAGGAAATATAGGAGCTGCGATGGCTCAAGTGGTTAAGACACTGAACTGCAGGCTGTGGAAGGTCAGTAGTTCAGCAGTTCGAGACCCGGGTGCCGCATGACGGAGTGAGCTCCCATCTCTAGTTCCAGTTCCTGCCAACCTAGCAGTTCGAAAGCAAGAAATTGCAAGTAGATAAATAGGTACCACTTTGGTGGGAAGGTAACAGCGTTCCGTGCACCTTGGTGTTTAGTCATGCCGGCCACATGACCGCAGAAACGTCTTCGGACAGCGCTGGCTCTTCGGCTTGGAAACGGAGATGAACACCGCAACCCTAGAGTCGGATTCGACTGGCTTTCGAGCAAGGGAACCTTTACCTTTACCAGGAAATATAAAGCCCAGGGGCCTGTTCCCTTTAATCTTGCAGGACCAATTTCAGTCCAATTGGCATAGAGCAGTCTTGAATTCCATCCAGAAATTAGGCTTTTCTCCCCAAGCCCTTCTGGCTCTTGGTATAGACCAGACAAAATCACTTATTAAGCAGAGAGTGACTGACACTGAAAGACAATTGGATATTCTTAGTTCTCCTGGTTATTTCTCTCCAGCAAATACCAGATATATAGTCGCTCCTGCAGCCTATTTACATTTTCTTGAATCCAATAACTCAAGAAGGGCATTCAGGTTAGCCAGAAGCATGTCTTTGCCTTTTGTAGTATTGGAAGGGAGGTTTAAAGGGACCCCTTACTCACTGAGGTTCTGCTCCTGCCCCCTCCATGAAATACTCTCTAGAACACATATTTTTCAACTGTGTATACCATAGGGTGATCCCTATGGAGACTATTAGTTCGCTGTTAGAAAGGTTTCCTGGCAGATCAGATAAAATTAAACTTGATTACCTGCTGTCTGACAGGAACCACCAAGACAAGACCAGATTTTGTGCCCAGGTTTACAAGGAACGTAAAATTTTTCAATCTTTTATCTAAATTGTACACACGTTTTATGGCTGCCTTATTTTAGCTCTATTTTACAGTCACAGTTTTTAAAATTTAAGTATGCCACTGTTGGTTTTATCTCATATTTATTATTCAAATGTTTTTATGTAAAACGATTGAGTGCACTGGTCCTTGACTGTAACAATAAATTTGACTCGACTTGAGTCTGAAATTGCGCCAGCATCCTGCCCCATCCTTAACAAAGGCACACAGCTTAGCATGAACTATGACTCAGCTCTGAAATCTATTTTTAATGAGAGGGCTCAGTCAACCATAGCAATGTGAGGTGATAAGGAAGACGCCCTCAGGGAGACCATGCAGAGATTTATCCTATCACTGAGCTATTAAAACATCTTGGCTTAGACGGGGTGTAACTTCCAAAGGACAAGCTGCGAGTTCTCTTTTCGAAAATCTAGCCTGCCCTCGACGGTGCCAAGGAGCCCAACCTGCTTTTCAGAATGTCCCCTCCCCATCCCAAGGCATCCCCGAAATCTTTCCTTCCCTACCGGGGGGCGTTTTACTATTGCGGGTATCCTTCTTCCCCGCCTTGTTCATCATGATCCACGAAGAGGGACGGGATCCCAAGCTACCCGGCGAGCTCTGCCTACACTTCCCGAGAAGGCCGCCGCGGTCTCCCACGGCACCGGCGAGGAACGAAGTTCCAGCGTGCTTGTCTCCATGGCAACCCTTCTTTCTCTTTAGCCCCACCAAGCGGCCCTTCCACGGTGACCTGAAAACCAATCAGGTTGGCGTGTATAAGCCACGCCCACACAGCGTTCTCTTCCGCACAAGAAGCCTGTAGGACAGGAAAGCCTGGACGCATGTGCAAATTATTTACACATGTGGTGAGTTTATGGGACGTTACTTTATACTTAATGAGAAAACCAGAGTCGCTGGAAAAGACACTAACATTAAAAAAAAGCTGAAGGCAGCAGGAAAAGAGGAAGACTCAACATGAGGTGGATTGACTCAATATAAGAAACCACGGCCCTCAGTTTGCAAGACCTGAGAATGGTGTTAACTTTAGGATTTTTTTGAGAACGTTAATGCATAGGGTCGCCTAAGTCCGAAGCGACTTGACGGACAGGCACTTGATACACGCACTGGTATAGGCTGAACTTCACTTTACTTAACTATGTATCACTATTCTAACTGCATCACTATTTTATTACTCTCAGCATTCTACAATTAAGAAGGTGGGTATATTTACACCTCAATTTCCAATTTTGTTATATTTATATTTGCTTCACTGTTCTCCCCCCCCCATTAAATCCAAATTGTGACCATATAAACAAATTTTTTTATTCCTGTTTAGTCCTTGCATTTGTTAAACATCTTCATTATATTGGATGCTAATTTGATGTTCACCCTCTACCTATATGTATGGACTGTTAACTTCCATTTCAATGTGTCTGAAGAAGTGTCCCTGCCCAGGAAAGCTTATACCTTGAATAAAACTCTGTTGGTCTTAAAGGTGCCATTGAAGAATTTTGTTCAGTCATTAACTGAGACCCTGTTATACTCCATCTGTCTCTTCTCAAGCGTGGAGGTAACTCTACAGCATCCTTTTCTTTGAGGTGGGGTGATTGGCTGTCCAGTGAATATCTTCTCTGTCCCCAGACCTTAGTAATACATTCCGATCTACCATTCCAAAATCACATTACATCAGCGCTTGAGTGCCCCCAGAAAAATAGCCCTGCATTACATTCTACTGTTCATTAAGTTACAATCAGTATTCCAAATAAGAAATAAAATAAACAGGATGTATAGCCCTTCTTGGTGAGAATACAGATGTAAGGGCTGAATGAGGTTAGCATATGTAGTGAGAAAAGAAACCAACATCCCTGTTAAGTCCTGAGGGTTCCATTGTTCTGAGCGTTGTAATAATTTGTAACACAGCAATTTCCCTTTCCAGTCTGTTCCTGAAGTTCCTTTGCAATAAAACAGCTACTCTGAGGTCACCCATTGAATGTCTTGGAAGGCTGAAGTATTCTCCAACAGGTTTCTCAGTCTTTTGATTCTTGATGTCAGATTTGTGTTCATTTATCCTTTGGCATAGGGGTTGACCTGTTTGCCTTGTGTAGAGAACGGAAAGGCATTGTTGGCATTTAATGACATATACAATGTTAGAAAATGTGCAAGAGAATGAGCCTGAGATGGTGTAGTTGATGTTAGGTCCAGTGATCGCGTTGTCTGGGTATATGTGGCAGCAAAGTTGGCATCTGGGTTTATTGCAGGTACTAGTATCCATGTTCAAGTTAGATGTTGTATTATTGTGAGTTGTTTAAGATTGGGGAGGAGGGCTGTCTGTGTGCACCCCAGTGCTTGTGAAAGAGAACTGTCATTATCCAGTAGAGGTTGTAAGTTGCTGACGATGCATTGAACTGTTTTGAGTTGAGAATTGTATGTGACTACTAATGGTGTTGTTGTTGTTGTCTCTTTTGAGCCTGTCTTGTAACAGGCTTTCCCTGGGCTTCATTCTGGCTTTGTTAATCTGTTTCTTGCTTCATCAGGTGGATATTTTAGTTCCAAAAAGGTTTGTTGTAATCACATACAACAGAATGCTGGGGGGGGGGAGGAGACACACAAACCACTAGTAGTGTTTCTTCTAACCTCCTATAAAAATGGTTGTGTTTTTAAAGTTGCAAGCAGTGCACACTTAACAGATGGTAAGTAAATGAATGAACTCAGTGGGACTGGTGCCCAAGTAAACCTGTATAGGATCAAGCTGTGAGACTACAGATTGCAGACTATGGTAAATTTTGCACATGCGCTTTAGTACTTGCATTATTACCAGGGCTATTTTTGGGCAGGAACGCACAGGAACGGAGTTCCGGCTGGCTCCTGAGTTGGCCATGCCCAGCAGGAACTCATTAGCATAATAGACCACACCCAATAGCAGAAACTCATTAGGATTGGCTACATTAGGGGTGTGTGGCCTAACATGCAAAGGAGTTCCTGCTACAAAAAAAAGCCCTGGGTTTTGACAACAAACAAGGTAAACAGAATAAGAAGGGAAAGGTGGGTGTGGCTGGATGACCACACTTCTGGTAACATGGGGGTGTGGCCTAATGTGCTAATGAGTGGTGCTGTCAGGGTGTGGCCTAATATAATGGGTTTTGCTGTTGGGTGTGGCCTATTATGCTAATGAGTCCCTGCTGGGCTCTTTCTACAAAAAGAGCCCTGATTATTGCTATGCACTTCGTTCAAAGGTAGGAGGATTTGGCGATATGGAGTGTGCTGTAAAGTGTTCAGTCTCGGGGCATTATTGGCTAGGAGGTAACGCTTGCTTGCCTGCATTGTTTCATATCGTTTATTGGAATGAAAATTGCCTGCAAGCACACTCCTGCTCTGCGAAGCATTTGCAAATTGTGGGTTCACGTTCCAACTGTCTCATCATCGCTATACCTTTCCAGCCACAAACAAAAATAAGTATTGCATCAGAGGACCCTGAGAGTCCTGCCCAGCTCTAAAACGAAGAGGAATATTTACCCACTGGCTTAAATTGCTTAAGGGTTGCAATTTTCAGGAGACAAAAGTTAAAGATAAAGCTGGGATTTTTGACAACACCTGGTATAATAAAAGGTATACATTTCATTCTTAAAAGATAAAACCAGTTAATCAAGGATGTTGGATTTAAGATAAATACATTGGCCCCAAGAGAAATGTAGAGCTCAGTTCTTTTAGGTCCATGTTTTGGGCATGCTTACCTACAACATAGCACTGGGCTGCCAGTTGCATTTGCTCTACTGAAATCAATGGAACAACTTAGTTGTGGCTAACCTAAATCCTGTTGACTTCAGTGGAATTTAATTGTGACTACTGCAGTCTGGGTTGGAGCTGTTATATAGAATTAAAGTCCAGTGAATCAATGCAATCAAAGCCCATTCATATTTATGACTATTGATTTCTCCAAAAGATGCAAAGTAACTTTATAATATTTCTGCCTGAAATTTGGATCTAGTGCCAAGTCTTATTTAGCTGTGAGGTCTGAATGTGCTTTTCAACTGAAGCGAGGTACCAGGTGATAAAAGATCTTTCCTGTTGCAAAAGCTGTCATCACCAACACAGGTTCCAAGTTTGCTTGGGGAGGATGTGAGTAATAGATGTGTTCCTAGACTGCAATGTCTTTCACAGAGGATATTTTTTCTTTACTACTCAATCCCACAGATATGCATACATTAGAATATATGTACATAAATGGTGCCCTTCTTTATGAATATTTAAAAATAACCTTGCCTCTTATTTGCAAACCTATCTTTGATCCAGTTCAGCTGACAAAATCAGGAAGGCTCCCACACTTCAGCTGCTGTTCTGCAAACTGTGCAACGCAGAATTGTTTGTGAGGGAGTTTTTATAAATGGGGGTGGCAAAGTGGAATTGTTCAACAGGACTCTTGTTACAAGAAGGACAAGGTTGTAGTTTTAATGTCTGACAAAAGGCAGGTCCCCCCCCCCTTTGGATTGTCCATACTGTTTCATTCTTGTCTGATTTGTAATCCATTTTTATTGTACTATTCATTATTTGAATGGTATTGATCTTTATTGCATTGTTTTCTAATTCTGTCATCTGCTGCAATTCTCAACAACAAATAAGGGTCTGTCTTGTGGGTCTGTTGCTGCAAATAAAACAGAAGCCCAGGGGCACCTTAAAGACTAACATTTATTTCAATATGAGCTTTCATGAGACAGAGCTCAGAAAACCAGAAGCTAGGAGTGTTCATACCACCAGACCAGAGCCTTTTCTTCTAGGATGGTTTTCCCAAACCTGCTCCTCAAAGCTGACACCGTATGGTATGTGTTGATCCTGAATTTATTTCTACCAGCTGAGTGGTTGGTCAGTAACCTAGCAGAGGCTAAAGCCCTACATAAGTGCTATGCAGATATGCTTTGTGTGGTGCTAAATGAGTTAATTATGAATAGGAATGTATCATATCTAATTGGATAATAGCAGCAAGATGTGAATAAATGCAGAACTTAAGACATATGACAATGCATTTTTCTTCCATTTTGGTAGGCACAATATACAGCCTCACATGAACTCTAATGATGTGGAAAGACACATGGACCGTTGTGGCTTCTGAATATTTATTCCTCACAAACAAGTTATGTATCATTGTGACTTGTATTGAAAAGAATGGCCATGTCTCTAGGTGAGAAATATTCTCATTAACCTTTGCAGATATTTCTCATTTCTGACTTCTCCTTCTTGTTCCCTTCTTGTGCTGTCTGTTCACCATTCTTACAACAACCCTCCCCCCATATTCACTGGCTTTCTTATGCTTGTCACATTAATTTATAAATACCTTCTTTAATTCTGAAGCTTTCAACTCTCTTGAACCCTCTTCTGTTCCTAAGTTACTTCCCATTCCTGTTGGTTTCAATCTTCTTCTGAAAACCTCTCCTCTTAGCATAGCTGTTCAGTTTTTACTGTAAACTTAACAATGACATTCCCACTGCTAATCAGTTTCAGCCCCCCAACACCTCTTCTCACTTTTCTCCCATTAGAATTTTTTTTTCACTACTTCTACTTTGTGAGCTACTGGCATTAAAGTTGTG